GGATTTAGTGGCTAAGTTTTATTTCTATTTTATAGCAGCTTTTATGTAAAATTTCCATGGTATAAAGTATAATATTATCTTTTTATTGCTTTTTACCTGTTTATTGCCTTTGTAGTTTATATTGTCAAGTTGAAATATATTCCTAGACATAGTATATACAATAAGCTTTCATATGATATGTAACAAGTATATATACCATCGATCACATAGGTACAGGAAGGAATGTATTATGTTGTATACATTAGTTGGTTCAGCACCAAGGACAATATCCATCATTAACTTACCTGTAATGATACCTGAGTGCTGTATTTTTACTTGTATGTAGTTCTAATAGTGTCAGGACATGTCAGGATCTGTTAAGTCAAGGCCCAAGTCATTCTGTGGTTGCTTATTGTTGATTGTATGGAAACAAGGTGGAAATTGTGCATTTTATTGCCTCTTTACCTGTCTATGACCCTTGTAGTCTATGTTATCAAGTTGATATACATTTCTAGTTATAGTATCTACTATATGCTTTCATATGATATATAACAAGTCTATGTACCATCTTTTTTAAGGGTACAGAAAGAAGTGAAATATGTTGTAATGAATCAGTGTCTTAGCTGAATAGTCAGTTCAGCACCTAGGACAATATCTGATCATAAACTTACCTGTAGTGACACCTGAGTGCTGTATTTTACGTGTATGTGATTCTCATAGTGTCAGGACATGTCAGGAATGTTATAGGTTTCATACTTATACTTTTTATATAGTTTAGGCATTGTAATACAAAAAAAACTATGAAAACAGCTATTTTATTGCATTATTGCCCTTGTAATTCATTACTATTGATGTCAGGCTACATTTGAAATATTTTTCTGTAAAGTACACATTCTTAGCTTTCCAATGATATCTGGCATGATATGGTAAGTTGAGGGGAAAATGACAAAAAGACAGTAATACAAAGGTAGTACCCCCTATTTCAAAAGGGTCTGGAAACCCTGGCACAGAGGGGATGTATTGGTGAGAAACACTGGCAGCTAAAGGGTTAATAAAAAAAGGGTCCGACCAAAAGCTTTCAATTTGCTGTATTATGTATGTCTTTGCAAGAATAAACCAGTCATATATAGAACCTTTGTGCAACATTCCGTTTACGCTTACAATCACGGCTACATAGAGTCTGCATTTCTATCCTTATTCGTTTCAGATGACGTCCCAGCTGGCGTGGTAGTTCCACAATCGGTAGGGAGCGCTACAAACTGTACGAGGGTCCGTCTGCACGGCAATGCCGACTACCAACCCTCCCTCATGACGACCTACACCAGAACAGGCCAGACCAGTGGCGGCAGACCTGTCTACGTTAGTGACACAGACAGCCGAGACTTTCTCCACTTCGTCGAAAGCGATGAGGTATGGTGGGTGGGTCCCACGATCGGACAAACCCGCGGCTTCGCTTCTGTCCATAACTGCGCCATAACACCTGACCAGATCAGGTCACCGTGGATACTGTTGGACGGGAATCAGTGGCAAGTCGTCTGGTCGGTTACTGCCAGCTGTATCGGTAAGTATCGTGTATCATACATTCGCCATTAAGGTTATCTTTTCGGTAGCGATTGTGTGTGTGTACACGTGTGTGTGTGTGTGTGTGTGTGTGTGTGTGTGTGTGTGTGTGTGTGTGTGTGTGTGTGTGTGTGTGTGTGTGTGCGCGCGCGTCGTGTGTGTGTGTGTGTGTGTGTGCGTGTGTGTGCGCGTGTGTGTGTGTGTGTGTTCGTCCGCCTGTGTAAACAATAACTACAGAAGGCTTACATGGATTGCCTTGATACTTGGTAGGTTGGTTATGAGTAAATGGCTTTTCGGTTCTGATATCTCTTGATCTGGACATGCTAGGGTCACGAATCGTCTTCTGGAAAAAATTCGTTCAAGCTCGGTCCTCTTAGCAGCCTTTTCTAGAACTACAAGGAAGAACTGGTTTTCTCTCATAGTAATTGTACCATTTCCTACCTAGAGATACTATATATCTTGTGTTATCTTTACAATTAGCCTGCCCAGAGTTACCGCTTCCACCCAACGGCAACAGGACAGGAGGTCATCTTTACGGAGACACAGTCACCTTTTCCTGTAACGAAGGCTACGAACTGGGGTGGTATTCTGTGATCTTTCAAGGGCCTTTGACACCCTGGATCATAAGATACTACTGCGGACGTTAGAATACTTTGGTGTTAATGACATGGCTTGCAGCTGGTTTAAGTCCTACTTGACGAGGCTGCAGCAACACACATGCCTTAATTCAATTCTATCCCCGCAATTTATGTCACATGTGGTGTTCCACAGGGATCCATACTGGGCCCTCTGCTCTTCATCATGTATATCAATGATCTGTCAAACTGCATCCAGCCCTGTAAAGTTGCAATGTATGCTGACGACACCATAATATACTTCTCTGCCCGCAGTCTTCATTCAATCGAACATACTATCCAAAGTGACATAGTCAGAGTCTCACAGTGGTTTTTCGCAAACAAACTTCAGGTTTGAGTAATCAGGAAGTTGAAGCCGTTCCTAAATAGACAAGCATTGCAAGCCAGATACACTAGCTTATTTTTACCAAACATAAACTACTGTAGTACAGTATGGGACCAGGGGGAAGGGTCACATCACATGGACAGACTTGGCTGTGATCGCTACACCGCTACTTCACTCATACTTATTACACACTTGGATGGCTACCAGACCAGTGACCGAAGTACTACCGCAAAAACAAAGCCACACTCGTCTATAAAGCTCTCAATGGTATGTCCCCACCCTATCTCACTGCACTATTCACGCAGTTATCTGAGGTACATACACACAATACCCGCCTTAGGGCTCAAGGAGGACTACAGTTTCCAAACGTTCAACTGGAATACAGAAAGCGAGCTTTCTCGTACTCTGGCGTGATTCTTTGGAACAACTTACCATCTCATCTGAAATCGGCTAGTACTTTTACGCTTCAAAAAATATACAAACAAGACTGCCTGCCAATTGCACATTGACATGCAAATTAACAGAGCAGACCATATCCGAAGGTAAACATTATGCATTTGCTTTGCAAATGTTACTTTTCTAGTGTTAATATATTATTGTGTTTGGGAATTGCCCCCCAGGGTGCATTGAAAACCGCCCTCCAGGGCGATATGTTCTCTGGTTAAATAAACAATAAACAAAATTTACTGTCGCCAAATAAACAAAATTTACTGCTTTCGATTGGGTACGTGCGTATTCATCCGTGCGTCTGTAAACGCCACAATAACTTGAGAAGGCTTAGATATTTGGCCCCATGGTTTTCGGTTTTGATATGATCTGGATATGGCAGGTAACGACGATTGGATGGTAGCTTATTGCTCTGGAAAAAGCGTCGAGAGCTTGGTCCCCCTAGCAACTTTTTCTGGGACTGCAGGTGCGTTTATTGAAAAGAACCGGTTGACAGATCATTTTCTCGCACATGTATCATTTGTGAGTATCCTTTCCTAACTAGAAGTACTTAGGATCTTATGTTGTCTTTTACGAACAGCCTGCCCAAAGTTACCTGTTCCAACCAACGGCAACAGGACAGGAGGTCATTTTCATGGAGATACAGTCACCTTTTCGTGTAACGAAGGCTACGAACTGATCGGTTCTGAGAACAGAACTTGCCAGTCCAACCAGAGATGGTCCGGTGCACAGCCCATTTGCACCAGTAGGTGGCAGCTTTAACATTATTGTATTGTAATTGTGTATTGGAATTGATAATCAAAAAGCAGTTACTCAAGCAAATGAATATGATTTTGGAAACGGTCAGACGTCAGACAAGGATGATATCTTGAAAAGGGAACAAAATTTCTCCTCTGGTCTCTTAGAGTCACTGAAGAAGGTATACCTGAAACGTCTGACCGTTTCCAAAATCATCGCATTACCTGGATGTCTAACCTTCATCGACAAATTGATAAATCAATTTCCAATATACAGTACAATACGTGGTAACTATGTCCTGCTCCTGATTTGTATATTGCAAAGATGATGACAAAAATATCTGCAAGTACCCTGTCATGGAAATCAATTTACACGTTCTAGTAGCAATTTGTTGCTATCATCATTGTCCAATGAAAAAAGTTAATTGCCCTGACGTCGTTTTAACTGTGTTACAGGAAAACTCTGCCAACAACTGATGGTACCTTCTAACGGCAACATCAGCGGCGGTAGTTCTTATGGGGACGTCGTTGCGTATTACTGTGACGCTGGATACGAGATCAGCGGCGATGAAGAACGAACTTGCCAGTCGGACCAGACCTGGAGCGGCACTCAGCCAACATGCGCCCGTGGGTAGTTTCTTTTGTTTCCCATGATTATGTTTCGTTAAGTTTTATATTTTCCCAATTAAAGTAGTTCAGTCATTTCTGTTTGGTTTGGTGTGCTTGGTTGATGTCTTTGTGGCCTCTGCAGCATAGTGACTACAAGTAGCCTTTTTCTTAACTAAAACTACCTAGCATCCTACGCCATCTCTTAGGAAAACCCTGCCCAGAGTTACCGCATCCAACCAACGGCAACAGGACAGAAGGTCATCTTTACGGAGACACAGTCACCTTTTTTTGTAACGAAGGCTACGAACTGATCGGTTCTGAAAACAGAGCTTGCCAGACCAACCAGAGCTGGTCCGGTGTACAGCCCATTTGCACCAGTAGGTGGCAGCTTTTAATATTGTGATATTGTAATGGGAATGGGATTGATAATTAGTTTGGAATATACAGTACGATACATTTCAACTACGTCTTGCTTCTTTAGATATCGCAATGTTGGAGACAAACATATTTAAAATCTACTTGCTATTATCATTGTCCAATAAAAAAAAGTTAATTGCCCTGACGCCGTTTTAACTGTGTTACAGGAAAACTCTGCCAACAACTGATGGCACCTTCTAATGGCAACATCTACGGCGGTAGTTCTTATGGGGACGTCGTTACGTATTACTGTGACGCTGGATACGAGATCAGCGGCGATGAAAAACGAACTTGCCAGTCGGACCAGACCTGGAGCGGCATTCAGCCAACATGCGTCCGTGGGTGGTCTACTTGAAGTTTATTTTCCATGAAACTATCGTCTAGTTTTCAGATTTTTCCAAAGTGAAGTTCTAATATTTCTTGACAGAGTTTTACAACGTATTTAAATGGTATCTTGGAGCCTTCCTAACATAGAAATAACGCGTATTTTTCCTGTCACCTAAAGCACTAATGTACAAATCACATGTCACGTACACAAATTCCTTTTAACCCTCCGACACAATTAAGGCTTGAAGGTCAATTAGTGGCGGGACCTCTCCCTATACATTTTAAGCTAGGCTCTCAATCGCTGACTCTGACTGAGTTTGTATTCAGAGAAGCCACTTGGCAAATCTCACTGGGTCAGAAGCAGGCCAGAGTGACTAGTCAAAAGCTCTAGCCGAACATTTTCTTTGTGTTGGAACAAAATGTTTATACAATGTTTATCAATATACACATTTATGTAATCCCAGTATCTTATTCATCTGAAACAGCGGGACTGTCCACCTTACACGTGGTGATGATTGCCGTGGTGCCATCTGTGGTACTACTTGTACTGGGAGTAGTAGCGGGAATTCTGGGATACCGGCGCGGCAGAAAGAGACAAAGCGACGACTTTGAATTAGAAGAGTTTGACTTTCATCCAGATATTCTAGGTATATGATGTCATGACATACTTGCAGTTTTGCCATTCTATTACTCGGTACCAATGCACAAAAACTATTGAGTAAATAGTCATGCTACATGTATGTATTACAAACAGGAAACACGTATAAATCAATTAATTAGAAGTTGCGTTGCTAAAAGCTTAACTGACTTCACCTATTCTGTAAGTATTTCATTGATACAAATGCAATGTTTTGTATTCAACAAGACAGAAAAAGTGGGTATATTGATGATGAATACTATTGTATTACACCAATAGCCTTATTGAAGCCAGTCATGATGTTGTTTCACTGCTTTTGTTCCCAGATAAAAAATTAACAAATTTGGACAAACCACAACCCCCGCCTGTGCCGGCTCGGCCACAGTTCCTGGAGTACGAGGTAAACCCGGATGATCTGCGACTGAATGAAGAGATCGGCAGAGGGGCCTTCGGTATCGCCTTCCTCGCGACTTTAAAGAGAGCTGTTGATGGTCTTCTCACGGAACAAACAGTGGTGGCCAAAACTGTCCGTGGTAAGTCAACGTCACTGGTTATTACGACACTCTATCTTCACCAACGCCAGGAGCTTCGTTGATTTATTTTGCCACACGTCTTTAATGACTGAAAGCATGGCACACAGCACTTAAGCAGAGAAAGTTAGCCTTTGGTATGATCTGGCCCAAATGCAAAACAAGCACTCTACCCCCTGAGCAATTGTATCGGTGAAGCTTCAACAATGAAAGGTTTTGTTAAATTTGCAGAGAACGCGAGAGAAGAGGAGATACAGAATTTTATACAAGAGGTCGACACCACCATCACCCTGAGGGGCCACATCAACCTGCTCGGTCTGGTGGGCTGTTGCACAATGTCCCACCCTCCGTACCTGGTGACGGAGTACATGCCGTATGGAGACCTCAAGAACTTCCTACTCAAGTGCAGGAAGGTACATGTATACGTAACTTTAATGTAGATATCTTCAAATGTGTTCTTATTCTGCCAGTAATGGTTAAACTATCAAAAAGCTGCTGCCTCTATTTTGTTTGATGAATAAGCATAATGATGTGTAACTGAAGTTTAAAGAAACTACTTGTTAATCTATATGCCAAATTTGTTGTTATCAGCCACCCATTTTCAACATTACAACGTGTGTGTATGGCTCGATAGATCTAGAAGCTGATGGCTTATTTTACTTAATGTATTTCATTGTTTTGCTTGCTGTGCAACCCTTAAGCATGGATTTGCGATTTCGCAGTTTAAAAATACCAAAAGCTGGCATCTGAAAATTAAATGTCTCTTTTTTGGTGCGTGTGGTATGTCAGCCATTATAATACTTTATGATGAAGCCAACTTATGTTCATGCTGACTCTTTTCATGTAAATCTACAGTTGAATGAGAGGCTCCAAGACAGCATGTATGACTTCGACGACATGAAGATCTACCAGGTAGCACGGCAGATAGCAAACGGAATGGTAAGCAGACAGTCCACACACAATATTATCACTGAGAACACCCGGAAAAATATACTGTATTCATAAGACACAGCCTTGTAAACAGAATGAGCTTATACCATACGCCTAAATGCTCTGAATTCTATCATGAATTGCAAAAGCACATTCTCATCCCATACTACACACTTTATAGGCAAGATTAGTCTCATTGTTTGTTAGCAATAGATGCCAATTACCTTAACCTTGTACAATTGTTGTGCGATGGCGTTTAGATGTTTTCTGAGGAAGACCAGCGTGACTGGTCGAAAGCTCTAGTTGAGATAATTTCTTTGTTTTGCAATTGGATCAAGTTTTAACTTTAAACATGAAAGTATCATAGACGAACTTCCATTTTTATTTGTTTGTTGACCACGTTCATACATGTACATCCATTTCACACATGACGTTTGCACTTTTTGAATTGTATGTTTTCTGCCTTTCTCTCTCGAATCAGACTTACATTTCCCAGGCTGGTTACGTGCACGGTGATCTGGCCGCCCGGAACGTGCTGGTAGGAGAGGACCTGGTGGTGAAGATCGCAGACTTCGGCCTGACAACAGACATCTACGAGCGAGGCTACCAGCGGCAGGACGCGGAGCAGAAGATCCCGGTGAGGTGGATGGCGCCGGAAAGGCTAATGCGAGAGGGCCGGTACACCAGCAAGAGTGACGTGTGAGTAGTTATTGCTTTGGTTTTGTCCTAGATTTAGGGTCGTATACTAACTATAGTCTGGAAAAAACAAACTTGAAAGCATGAGCAAGCTGGTGTCTAATCTGAGGTTGTCTATGTAGTTAGTCTCCCCCGGCTTCTTTGGCCTTTTGTAGGCTCCCAAAGGACAAGCTTGGATGCTTCAATATGAGGATGTCTGATGCAGTGTGCTGCTAGCTTCATTTTGCGTGTTTTGATTCTCTCTGTAATTACAGGCAAATCATGATATGGTACGTCTTTTTTGCATAATTGATAATCAAATCTAATTCTCACGCCCAGTTGGTCCTTCGGTGTGGTGCTGTACGAGATCGCTACGCTCGGGAACGTGCCCTATCCGGGTCGGGAACGCACGCTCCTGGAGGAACTCCGCACAGGGTACCGCGAACCACGCCCGCCTGGCCTCAAACAAGAACTGTACGTGAAGGAGAATATTGTTGTTTTTTTTTATTTAATTCACATTTGTTTCTGGAATAATTCATAAATCATGGTGGTTTATAACGGCCCTCTCCACATGAAAGAGAAGATCAATAACAGTGGTCATAATGAGTTTACAAATTTAAAATAAACCAAAAACCATTTCAAAGACAAATGTTGAAACGTGTACAAATACTACAAGTTAGATAAAGTTTAGTAGTGTACTAAGAGACGATAGACATGTAAAATGGTGATGACAACAACCCTGTGCCTTTGGTCTACTCCATTTACAAAATTAGCCTGGTTACCAAACCTATTATAGCTCCCGAGTCCTACATCTCGGGAGTTATAATAGGTTTGGTAACCAGGCTACAAAATTATAACATTGTCAATCACCGATGACTTACACATATATATAATAACCAATAGGTACGACACGATGCTGCGGTGCTGGCAATGGGATGAAGATGATCGCCCGGAGTTTGAGGAGCTTTACGATGAGCTGGACGCTGAGGTAGAAGTGATGGCCGAGGATTACTTCAAACCCGGTTCCGGCTCCCCAGTGGGGGGTCAGAATCAGGCAGCAGAAGCTTTTGAAACCTCGTACGACGTCCCAAAGTCGGGCCGGATGGGGATGCAACTCCGCGTCACTGCAGACGTCTACAACAGCGAAGATCGTGATGAAGTCGACTCGCTCGCGTCCTCCAATGCAGAAGCCAGTTCCACTCCAATAGAGAAGGATGTGGACACTGGCAATGATACTCATACAGCAGTTGACAAGTGCAAGGCCACGCAGCAAGACACCCTCTCGGAAATTGAAGACCAAGACCAACTACAAGTGGAATCCTCCATCCCACCGGGTGCAGTAAGTATGAATGCCAATGACAGTTCCACCGACTCCGAGCTGCCAGAGCCAGCGAATGTGCAGAAAAATGAAACCCCGGCTACAATTGAGGACAACACCGAAGATGCTGAAGAAGAAATGCCTCCAACAACAGAAGAAACTGTGCATTATTACTAATGGCTTATTTTTACAGAAGTCAGTTCTATCTACAGGATGTATTACTGTTTTTGTGAAGGCATTTATGAACATGGAAATGGATCATTTATATTGCCAACATACTTTAAATGTTGAATATTTTTATTAGGTTATGTACAGCTTACTGCATATATTTTCCTTGTGCATAATTTCTTTGTAAAAGAAACATTGTTTCCGCATAATAAACAGAGTTGCAGTAGTTTGTTACGAGAGACAATGTGAAGTTAACATTATGAATTTGCTTTGGAATTGTTACCTTTCAAGTCACCATTTAACATATATAATGTACTATCCTAGGAACTGCAGTGCTATATGTATCAAATAGGTGTCGCGTTTGCATTGACGCTGCTACCTAGCAACGTGATTGGTTAGTCTCATTTTAAGAACCCATAGAAACAGAGGAAGGGGAGTAGAAGTTATCATTGGTAATAGGTAGGATTGTGATGTACGTATTGTAATGTAATGGCTATACTTATTCTCACGATAACCTTTGTTAAAATTTAGTTAAGCCATCGTATTGTTGCTTTTGATGACGTGTGTCATACTTATTGTCACGATAACCTCTGTTAAAATTGCGACGTACAGTAAGGTAAACATTATGCATTTACATGTACTTGGAAATGTGCCTTTCAAATCACCATTTAACATATATAATGTATTACCCTAGGAACTGCTGTGCTACATGTATCGAATAGGTGTCGCTTTTGCATTGACGCTACTACTTCATTGATTGCTCACATCTTAAGAACCCATAGAGGCAGAAGAAGGGGTGTAGAAGTTATCATGTTTAATGGATAGGATTGTGATGTACGTTAGGTTAGTACGTATTGTGATGTACGTATCTTAATATTAAGGCTATCGGAGCATCTCCCATGGCCGTTTCTTACAAGTAGTTTACACCACTGGTAGCTAAGGCTTGTTGGTTCGGTCGTTGACCTTGCCAAGGTCAGACGTACCTTAACAAACATGAAAGTGAGAACTAACATAGATGTTGGTTACGAAATGGCTGCTTAGAGTTAAACCGTCGTATTTTTGCCTTTGATGATGTGTGTCATGCTTAATTTCACGAAAACTTGTTGAAATTGCGACGTACGAATGTAAACATTATGCATTTACATGTACTTTGGAAATGATACCTTTCAAGTCACCATTTAACATATATAATGTATTATCCTAGGGGCTGCAGTGCTATATGTATCAAATAGGTGTCGCTTTTGCATTGACGCTGATACTTAGCAACGTGATTGTTTAGTCTCATCTTAAGAACCCATAGAAACAGAGGAAGGGGAGTAGAAGTTATCATTGGTAATAGATAGGATTGTGATGTACGTATTGTAATATAATGGCTATCAGTTACTTAGAGTTAAACCATCGTATTGTTGCTTTTGATGATGTGTGTCGTACTTATTGTCACGGTAACCTTTGTTAAAATTGCGACGTACAGTAACGTAAACATTATGCATTTACATGTACTCTGGAAATGTGCCTTTCAAGTCATCATTTAACATATATAATGTATTATCCTAGGAACTGCAGTGCTATATGTATCAAATAGGTGTCGCTTTTGCATTGACGCTGATACCTAGCAACGTGATTGGTTAGTCTCATCTTAAGAACCCATAGAAACAGAGGAAGGGGAGTAGAAGTTATCATTGGTAATAGATAGGATTGTGATGTACGTATTGTAATATAATGGCTATACTTATTCTCACGATAACCTTTGTTAAAATTGTGACGTACAGTAACGTAAACATTATGCATTTACATGTACTTGGAAATGATACATTTCAAGTCACCATTTAACATATATAATGTATTATCCTAGGGGCTGCAGTGCTATATGTATCAAATAGGTGTCGCTTTTGCATTGACGCTACTACTTCATTGATTGCTCAAATCCCCATAGAGACAGAAGAAGGGGAGTAGAAGTTATCATTGTTAATGGATAGGATTGTGATGTACGTTAGGTTAGTACGTATTGTGATGTACGTATTCTAATATAAAGGCTATCGAAGCATCCCTCATGGCCGTTTCTTACAAGTAGTTTACACCACTGGTAGCTAAGGCTTGTTGGTTCGGTCGTTGACCTTACCAAGGTCAGACGTACCTTAACAAACATGAAGGTGAGAAACGACATAGATGTTGGTTACGAAATGGTTACTTAGAGTTAAACCATCGTATTGTTGCTTTTGATGATGTGTGCCATACTTATTTTCACGATAACTTGTTAAAATTGCAACGTTACAGCTCGCTACAGTGTTTAATTAACAGAATAGATGTTACCTTGCTCTCTTCAAAAGCTAGCGCCACGACCTTCATGTTATGACCTCTGGGCGTGACCTTATGTGACCCGATGCTCATTAATGACGTAATTAAATCTCGTGTCTTCTGACCAGGCTATTGTGAGGAGAAGCTTTTTCCTAGCGTCCGTAGCAGGCTTATACAACTGGGGGTTTGGTGGTCTTCGGCTGTTTTCTGATTAGCCCAGTTCTAAACAAACGGGGATAATTCAACCAGGCCGGTTATGTTGTCTATATGCAATCAGAAAATAGCACATAAAAGCTCCCAAAGACCCTGAAGACCCCCAAACTCCCAGTTTTTGGCGTGCTATGGAGGCTACTTTCGCCACGGTTGACTTGACGCGTGACACTAAACTAGGTTGTCAGAACTGACGTTAGGACATTCCTCTGGAATAATGTGACTCTTAGGTGAGCTACTGGGGCTTAAAACACGATTAGATCCGTTTACACCTGTATAGAAGCACCTTTGTTTGTTTTAAGTTATCCTAGTGTAGTTCAGAACATGGCAAAGACCGAACTAATGATGGTTGACAGACAATAATACCGGATGCCCCGAGGATAGTTGAACGTGTAACGGCTCGAGAGTTCGGTTAATCTAAAGACTAGGCGTCAATTCATATTATACTTGATGTGGATGGTCTTTGATCATAGGTTACCACACCTTTACAGTTTTGACAACGCTTTTTACATGTAAATTTACGCTGAACAATAAATTTGCTGTGGTAGAGATCGCTTAATTGCCAGGACCTTTTTCTTGTGTTATTATTTATTATCAAAAGAGCAAAAAAATTTCTTAAGAGATGCATAGAAGGGCAGGATACATGACTTGGAGCCATACCCCTTTCTTGGCTGCCTTAATGTTCTTACGTTGACTTCTGTGTTAAAGAATGGCTCGATGCCTGTAAATGTAATGTATACACCACACTAACAACTTGGAGAAGCTTTCTGGCGGAATAGGCTCTAATATACATCGCCAGTGCAGGCATCCAATTCTGTCACTTTAACGGAGTAACAGTTTAGTCTTTTGGCCAAGAGTTCAGCATCAGGTGAATTCAAGCCAACATCTTAAATTAAAAGAAACGATCCGTGCTACCGAAAACAGCGGGAAACTAGAAACAAACCAGCTAACGTTTAACTTGTGACCGTCAGCATTGCCAACTGTTGTGTAAGGAAGGGTGATCTGTAAGAACATGCGTGGCTACTGGCTTCTTTTGTGTCTGTATGTGTGTGTGTTTGGGTGAGTGTGTGTATGTGTGTGTGTTTCTATGTGTGTCTGTGTTTGTGTGTGCGTGAGTGAGTGTGTGTATGTTTGAGTGAGTGTGTGTGTGTGTGTGTGTGTGTGAGAGAGAGAGAGAGAGAGAGTGTGTGTGTGTGTGTGTGTGTCTGTGTGTGAGTGATTGTGTGTGAGTGAGTGCCTAAGAGTATGTTACCATTAAAAGAATTACGTAAGACTCCCAATTACAGGTAACCATGAAAGACCGATGTGGCTATGAAAATATGATATTTTAAAACATCCCAAACCCAACACGAATGCTACATGTAGTTCTAAACACAAATACACCACTTAACGTTACATATATCTTTCTAAAACAAAGTTAAATATCGTATAAATCTGACATAGATGGAGCTTTTTTCATAAATAGAATATATATCAGGTATAAAGCTACCGTATCAGAATGGGTATCATAATATCAAAATATGTAGCACAGATCTGTATTATAAATCACATAATGTACTAATATGAAGAATTTCAAGTCCTGGTCTTAATCCAAGAACTAAGTTGGGTTAAGTCCAACTATGCCGGAAGGTGGGACACAAAATTACCCACTCATTTCTTGGGAATAGGCCAATAATGCGGTGAAATATATCTTAAACGGAGTCGATTTTGTCAACTATTCTTAGCAACACCAGATGCCACATCTGGTCTGTTTCAGGACTTAAGTAGGGATCAAAAAGGAGAGGGTGTTGTTTTGAGTGGGACGATTTGTTTTCAATGACTTAATCATCGAAGTGTCACTTCTTATTGTGGGTTAGTTACCTACGGTGTAACTAAACACCAGAACTTACTTATTGTTTTGTCTCTGTTTTCCCTAACGTTATATTCCTGACATGTATATATACATTATCTACTCTATACAATGCTGTGATTGTATATACATAATGATAGTCAAATACAGTTCAAATACACTTGAAATTTTCCGGTCTTCGATATGGTATCTACCATTCAAATGGCGATGACCATATACAAGGCACTTCGCGTGTCTATTCTCTATGCCCCTCCCTACAATTTAAAAATAAAACAGGCCTATTTGATTGGAGATTAGAGTGGATAATCATCATATTTTATAAGACTACAAGACGGTAGTGCCACATAGATAAAAGTAACATGAACATACATTTTAAAGTCTTCTGACTTTACATTTCTTTGGTACTGATGATAACTGATGGAAAATTACATTTAAGTACATAAATGTACGTGTATAGATACACCACATAAAAATACACATCTCCCACAATGTTATACAGATAATTGTAAACCTTTACACCTTATTATGTTTACCTTCACAAAGGGAAAACATTTTTGCTGCTTTCTACTTCAAGGTCAATGACTTCGACCAGACGGCTGTCACCATGGTAACCAGAGCTGTAGCAGACACCCTGTGGTGTTGGGTTACATCATGTAGCAAGTTGCAGGCCTAGAGTTGGAAGGGCTGTTCAGTGGTCACCTTATATATGCAATTCACGTGTTTGAGTAAGAAAAAACACAGCAGCCATTTGTAGAGCTAGACTCGTCCCCGTGTGAAGGCAAACATTATACATAATATGCTTTGCAAACTTTTCTATAATTCTATCTTACATCCCTGCAGCAGACACCATGTGGTATCGGATTACATTACAGTATGTAGCAAGTTGCAGTACAGAGTTGGAGGGGCTGGTCACCATATTTTTGCAATTAACGTGTTTGAGTAAGAAAGAAAACAGAGCAGGAGCTCGGGTTTGTAGAGCTAGACCGTCCCAATGTGAAGGCAAACATTATACATAATATGCTTTTCTAAAATTCTATAATCTTACATCTTATGATTTGTTGGTTTCTCTCCTACGCCTGGGGTTGGGAACAATATCATAGTCCACGTCGTCAAACGTGATGTCCCCGGACCCCTGGGCGGGCGGTTCTTTCTTCACCGCCGGTTCTTCTATGGGCTCCTCGGCCAGGTTCGGCAGGGTTTCCCCGGGAGCGACCATCCTCTTCATGCCGGCGAACGCGAACATGAACTCGTTCATGTTGAGGTCCACGTTCTCCACCCGCTTGGTGAGGGTGTCCAGCTGGTGTGAAATCAAACGAGAACTTTTAAAACGTCGATGAAGGTTAGACATCCAGGAAATAAGATACGCAAAAATAAACTCAAGCAACTAGATATGATTTTGGTATTTTACATGACTTTTTTTATATTCCAACATCTAATCACAAGACGTGGTGATGGCACACTCAAGTTTTTTTCAACTTATATCAATGCTGCAACCAACACAGGGGACAATACAATACTCATTTTCACCTTAGGAAAGTCGTGTAAAGTGCCTTTCCCACGGGCACAAGATCGGTGGCAGGGCAGGACTCGAACTCGGGACCTCTTGATTCCGAGTCGAGCACTCTGCCTCTACGCCACACGACCCCACAAAAAATTACTTCGGTGAAGGTTAGGCATCCAGGTAATATAAGATACGCTAAAAAAACAGTTACTCAAGCAACTGGATATGATTTTAGAAACGGTCAGACGTTTCAGGTAGCAACTTTCGTCTGAGACAGTGGAGAGTTGTCACAAAAGCAGGTTTATAAGTACGAACTATTGAACAGCTGTCACTGACGGAAATGAAATTTGAAAAAGAATTAAAGGAAACGGAAGATATAACTAAGAAAACGTTTGTAATATTTGCGTGGAATTGAATAAGTTGAAGATTATCATAAAAGTTCACTTAGTTTCACAAGGGTTTTGGACACTGGACAAGACTATTTCCTGAGTGGGGTGAAGGAGGCTATTTACATCAGGGCCCATCACCCTTCACTTAACCGCGACGGGGGTCGACATCGTCTACAAGATACCTTTGACCCAGTGTTGATGTCACACTTCAAAGAAGCCATGTGACAAGCCTCACTGGGTCAGTCTACTGAGGAAGACCAGAATGACTGGTCGAAAGCTCTAGGTGACAGAACTTTTTGTGTTGGCTCGAAAGTTTTAACTTAAATAATTTTGAAGATTCGTAAATAATTTCATCAGGTTGGTAAACGACTGAATAGCAATTGAAAGTTCTTTCTATCACAACCATTTATTTTTCGAAGCCAACGTTTCGATGACCTTCAATGTAACAACGTTTTGATGTAACAATGCCTAGTATGTATGTCACAATTACACTACGTTCCGGAATGCATTGTAAACAGACAAAACTAGCTTAAGTGCACTATGAACTATGTAACACCTTCAGTGCACCAAGTAACATCTAGTGCCAGTGCACAGTAAACCAGTCAGTATTGCCCTGATGAAGATGACAGAAGGTCATCGAAACGTTGGCTTGACATTGGCGATAGAAAGAACTTTGCTATTCAATTTTGAAGATTGTTCCCCCGTACCTTAGTGCGGTACTCCTCGCTCCTGTCGCTCTGGTCCTGCAGTTCAAACATCAGCCGCTGGTTCAGCTCACGCATCTGCAGCATCTCTTCAAACATGGCGTCCACGCGCTGACGCAGGAAACCTGACGAAATGAAAGAAAAAACGCCATTGAAACGTACGGACGCATACACACAGGCAC